TTCACATAGGTCAGAAGGGCCAGCACGAACAAATCAACAAATGACAAGTGCTGGTGAGGATGGAAGATACGGAGAAAAGGGAACCCTAATGCCCCATTGGTCGGAATGCAGACTGGTGCAGCCACTGCAAAAAACAGTATGGAATTTCCTCAAAAAACTAAAAATGCAACTGCCTTTTGATCCAGCAGTTCCACTGCTGGAATTATACCCTAAGAATCCTGAAACACTAATTCAAAAGAACCCATGCACCCCTATGTTTATAGCAGCATTATTTACAATAGCCAAGTGCTGGAAACAGCCCAAGTGCCCATCAGTAAATGAGTGGATCAAAAATTTGTGGTATATTTACACAATGGAATACTATGCAGCATAAAGAAAGAAGGAACTCCTGCCTTTCCCAACAGCATGGATGGAAATGGAGAGATTACATTAAGTGAAGTAAGCCAGGAGATAAAAGACAAATACCATACAGTCTCACCTATAACAGGAACCTAATTAACAAAACAAGCAAATGAGCAAAAAAGAACAAGAGACATGGAATTGAAGGAACGGGAGATGGGGACCCAACGAAGCAGGAGGTGGGGGAAATGGGGGAAAGAAAGGGAACATGTACAAAGGACCCATGGACAAGGGCAATGGGGTGGGGATTGTCTTTGGGAGCAGGGGGTGGGCAGGGCATGGAAGAGCAACTGGAGGAAGAAAGGTGACAACTGTAACTGAACAATAAAAAATAAATATTAAAAAAAGAAGACAGAAACTTTAGTAAGTCCTATTGCTTCTCGGCCTTTTGGCTAAGATCAAGTGTAGTATATGTTCTTATCAGAAACTTTAATAAGTCCTTACCTATCAATGAATACTCTCTATATAAATGGATTAAAATCTCCAATAGAAAGACATAGTGTTTAGATGGATTAAAAAAAAAAAAAAAGGACCCAACTATATGATGCCTACAAGTGACTTCAACTTCAACTTTAAGGACACATAGGCTCAAAGTGAAGATGTGAAAAGAGATATTCCAAGACAGTGGAAGCCAGAAGAGAGCAGGGGCAGCTACACTTATAACAGACAAAATAAATTTTAAGCCAACAATTACCAAAGAGACAAAGAAGGCCATTATATAATAATAAAGAAGTCAGTTCATCAAGGGGTACACAATTGTGAATATATATAATCCCAACACTGGAGCACCTAAATATGTTAAGCAAATACTAACAAATCTGAACGGAGGAATTGAGAAGAGTACAATAATGGTATTTTCAACAATGTATAACATGATAAAGATAAAAACCAATAAGAAAATAATTGATTAGAATAATCTTTAAAGCCAATGAACCTAACATATACATAAATTTTATACAGCAGAACACTCATTCTTATCAAGTGCAAACAGAACATTCTCCAGGATTGATCATATGTTATAATGATCACAAAACAAGTCTTTAAAAAGTAAGAAGATTATAATCATATCAAGTATCTTCTAACATCAATGGTATAAAATTAGAAATTAAAAAAAAAACAGGAGGAATGTTGGAAATTCTACAAATATGTGGAAATTAACACACTCCTGAACAACCAGCTGGTCAAGGAAGAAATCAAAAGGGAAATTATAAAATATCTTGAGACAAATGAAAGTTGAAATACAACATACCAACTAAAGAAATGCAGCAAAAGCAGTTCTGAGGGGATGTTTATGGCCATAAATGTCTTCACTGAGAAAGGAAAGACGTCAAAAAAATCCCTAAATATACTTCAAGGAACAAACTAACTCCAGAAAAGAACAAAGTAACTCCAAAGTTAGTACAAGAGATAAGAAATAACAAAAATCAGAGTGGAAACAAATTAAGTAATGGTTTAGTATACACTAGAAAAAGATCAACAGAACTAAGAGTAGGTCTTTGAGAAGATAAACAAAATTGACAAGCCTTTAAAAACATTAAGAAAATAAAGGGAGGTGACTCAGATTAGTAAAATTATAAAGAGGAAATAGTACAACTAATAGCACAGAAATACAAAGTATCCTAAAGATCTGCTACAAATAATTATACTCCAACTAATTATTAACCTGGAAGAAATGCTGGAAACATATAACTACCAAAACTGAATATTAAAGAACTAGAAAATTTGGGCATTATGCTAAGTGAAATAAGCCAGGTGCTGAAAGACAAAATATGATCTCACCTATAAGTGGAACCTAATCAACAAAACAAACAAGCAAGCAAAACAGAACCAGAGACATGGAAATAAAGAACAAACTGACGGTAACTAAAGGGGAGGGGGGAATAACAGGGCAAAAAAGGGGAAGGGTCATCAAGGAACATGTGTAAAGGGCCCATGGACAGTAACAATGGGGGAGAGGAGGATTGAATGTGGGAGGTGGGAGTGGGTTGGGGTAACAGTAGGAAAATGGGGACAACTGTAATTGAACAATAAAAAAATGCAATATCCTTTCATAATTTAAAAACTCTCCACAAATTGGGCACAGAAGGAGCACATTCAACATAATAAAGACCCTATATGACAAGCCTACAACTAACATCATACTCAATGGTGAGAGGTTAATAGCTTTTCCTCTAAAATCAGAAACAAGGGTGCCCACTCTAACAACTTCTACTTGAATAGTATTGGAAGTCCTAACCATAGCAATTAGGCAAGAAACAAAAGCCATCCAAATCAGAAAGAAAAAAATATATGATATGTCGAAAATCCTAAAGATACCAGCAAAAAAAAAAACAACTGTTAGATCTAATCAAAGAATTCAGTAAAGTTGCAGAAATACAAAATAAACATACAGATCAGTTGCATTTCTATATATTAACAAGGACCTGTCTGAAAAAGAAAGCATTCCCACTCACAATAGCATCTAAAACAATAAAATACTTGAAAATAAATATAAACAAGGAAGTAGAAAGACTGTACACTGAGAGCTATAAGGCCTTGATGAAAGAAACGGAAGAAGACACAAATAAATGGAAAGATATTTTGGATTTGGATTCATGGGCCAGAAGAATTAATATTGTTAAATGTCCATACTATCCCAAAGCCATCCACAGACTCAATGTAATTCCTACCAAATTACAATGGCATTTTTCACAGAAATACAAAAAAACAATTCTAAAATTTGTGTGGAACCACAAAAGACTCTAAATAGCTCCCCCAAAAGAACAAAGCCCCTTTAAAAAGAACAAAGCTAAAAGCACTACACTTCCTGATTTTAAGTTATATTACAACACTACACTAACAAAAACAGTGGCATGGCTTTCCATTACCCCCAAGATAGGCTCCCAGAGGCTGAGATGGGGACCAGCTTTCAGTGCTGGGCTCACCTCATGGGAACCTCAGTGTGTAGCGACTTCCTTAACCCTTGGGAAAAGAATGCCTTCAGGAATCAGCATGTCACTATGTCCACCACCAAGAAAAGCTCTATCCTCTGAGATTTCTAGCTCAGCAGTGTCATGAGGTGACTGTGCGGGAGACAAGGGAGGAGTTGAATGTGAGTCAGCGTCACCAGCAGTGTACCCTAGAAGCAAGAGGAAACTCTGCCATTTTTCTCATGGGGTCCACCAGAAACAAACTGCCTCTTGTACCCCTCCATTGTGATGGGGTTTGGATCACCAAGAACTGGAAGGTCCAGTCCATGTTCTTACTAAAAGGGGAGAGAAGTGGTCAACACAGGGCTGGCTGTCTGCATCCCATGTACATGATGATGTTTTTGAGAGGCATTCAGGTTACTCAGGCGCAGTCAATCATAATCTTCCCTAAAATCGTTCAGACTTTGGTAGACACTCTAGAGACACACATAGAGACAAACACACACACATACACAGAAACAAAGGTAAGTAGTGAGGTGATAAGAGGAATGCAGAAAATAGAGAGGGATGCAAAAAGTAATGCTGAAAGGTCAAAAGATGCAGGTGAATAGTGACATAGATACAGCCAGAGAAAAATAGAGACAGAGACACAGTGAAAGAATGAGAGACACAGGGATGCAGAGACAGACATAAAAGGTGCAGAGACACACACTGAAAAAAAAAATGCAGGAACAAAGAGATGGAGTGGCACAGGTAGAGACATAACAGAAAAAGGAGAGACAAAGGCCTCATTCAATATCTGGATCAAGTCTCTTCTGAAATCAACTTGACCCCAGGCCTTCTTGCAACATGAACAAACTACATTTCAAGTGGGTTTCAATCATTTGGAACTAAAAATCATTGCTTTTATTGCTGGTTACACTTTCCCAGAAATAAAAATTGACCTTGACCAATGTGAGCTGCCAAGATATATTTGAAGCCTCTGTTTGGTTCTTTGGGACCAGGGGCCACTCTGTCTGTGCCCAGGTAATTCCGCTCTCCTGACATACACACCGCTCACCAACCTGGAAGAGGGGCCGGCACATCCAAAAGCCACTGCACTGAACATCAATGCTAAAGAGCCAGGAAAGATGATGTTTGAATTGATTTTCGATCTCCTCTGCCTATGTTTTTTGTTTGTCCATTTATTTTGTGTTTTTATATTCCACATATAAGTGGATCATGTAAGTGGATCATATGGTATTTGTTCTCTGCGTGCCATATTGCACTTGGCATAGTATCCTCTAGACCAACCATGTTGTTGCAAATGACAAGATTTTATTACTTTTTATTGTGAAAAATGTGTGTGTGTGTGTGTGTGTGTGTGTGATACCCCGTCTTTTTTACTCATTCATCTAGTAATGCACATCTTGGTGGCATCTGTATCTTGGCTACTAACATTGATGCAATGAACATAGGGGTACACATATCTTTTACAATTAGTGTTTTTGGTTTTTTTTGGATAAATAGCCAGAAGTGGAATTAGTAGATCATTTGGCAGGTTAATTTATAATTTTTTAGAAATCTTTAGACTGTTTTCCATTAGTGGCTGCACTAATTTCCAATCCTACCAATACTGTATGAGGGTTCCCTTTTCTCCACATTCTCCCCAGCACATGTCCTAAGGTTTTAAAATTTTTTATTGTATTTTATTGTTTATGCTATTACAGCTGTCCTTGCTTTTCCCCCCTCCTCTGCCCACTTTTAACACAGCACCCAAAGATGCCTCCAGTCTCCCTCAAGGAACAAAATATGTTCTTTCATTCTGCAGTAGTTTCCTGCCTCCACCCAGCAAAGGAGTCTCAGGATACAGATAACACATAACATGTTTAATTACGATAAAAGCTCTATGGTCAGGTAAAGGCTTTAATGTGCTTCTCTTGAACAGTCTGTGGGGAGAAATAAAAACAAACAAACAAACAAACAAACAAAAAAGCCTGGGGGCCTTGAGTAGATTCCGCTGGCAGCCCGCAGGCACAGGCTCCAGGGTCCCGGTCAGGTCCTCACAGTGGGGTCACAGGAGGTGACCAGGCAACTGCATCAGAGTCACCGTAGGTCTCTGATCTCAGACAGGGACAGGCTGGCAGGCAGCTGGGGACTCGGGGCAGGCACAAGCAGGCATTACAGGAGACACGGCCAATCCCAGTCACGGTATCCTCGGGAGTCAGCGCAGGAGCCCTGCCACAGTGAGAGAGTGATCGGCACCCAGCACCCTGAGCACATTCCCTCTCCCCTCCTCTCGGGTCCCTGCAGCATCAGAGAAAGCTGAGGTCTCGGGCATAGGGACATCACCGCCCCTAATATCTGTGTAAAGGTGAAACCAACTAAAAGGACACACTTCAGCTCCACGCAGACGTGCAGGAGGCAGGGGAACAGCTGTTATTCCTTGGGGTGAGGGGGCAGGGGCATATGAGCACTTCAATACTTACAGCAAATTTAATAACTAACCTTCCTTCCACCACTAGCAGCCTCTTCCAGTCACTTATAAATGCCCACAGGCAGTAGCCACCAACGTGCGGCACAAAGTGAGCATCGTCCTGGAGTCGAACACGCAAGACGTGGCTCTGGCTCCAAGTTTCACAGAAAGATGCCACCCAAGTTAAGCCCTGGTTCTGCCTAACAAACCCCGGAGCTTCCTACAGAAACTGAGCGAGCTTCTCCCCTAACTCTTGATCCCATGGCAGGGAATAAGCCATGAACCTGTCCTCACATCCCCCGCCCCCCTACAAATTGAATCAAAGCAGAAACAGTACCTGTTGGTGGAGGTCCATGAGATCCTACAAAAGGAAATTATACAGAGAAAGGCCTCATTATACAAAACACCAGTCCTTCAATCTACCCCAGAGGGAAATGAGATAAGCAACTTAATGGGAAAATTTATTTCCCTCCTACCCATTGGCCACAGGGCCCTAAGCACCCTAAGCTAAAATCCCCAAACACACAGTCACCAGAAGGGAGGGAGGGTTAGGGCTGGGAGGGAGGGCAATGCTCTGAGGAAACGGGCCAGTGAGAAAATGATGAACTGTAAGTCCTAGGACACACAGCCGCCACCGGTCCAATCTGTGGCAGGGCTGCCTTTTGACCAATGAAATCAGAGTCCGAAGCCTCCCCTAGGCTGTTCTGTCTCCTCCCACCAGCAGCCCAGCCTTCTTCCTTCCAGGTCAGGAGGTTAGACTTACACCTAGAAACAGAGACTTCCCTCAGCAGAGGGTCTCAGTCACAGCTCCTCTTCCCCATGCCCCCAGGTTTCCTTACCCTTCTGTTTCCTCTGACGAATGAAAAGGCCCAGCCCGAGGAAGATCAGCCCCAGCACAAAGCCCCCGACGCCAGTCAGCATCTTGCTCTGCGCCGATTCAGACTGCGCCCCTGGGTAGCAGAGCCTGAGGTCAGTGTTTGTCCCCACACCCAGCATGGCCCTTTGGGAAACCTGAAGTCCAGTCTGACACAGAGGAGGTGGAGGTGCCAGGGGAACCCAGTTCTCCATTCTGACCACCCCTTGGGGAGGGACCAGCCAATAAATCCTTGGACACCACAGGTGGGTGAGAGAGACGGGGAAGCTGATCTCTGCCCTTTGAGACACATCCTTAACCTTACACCCTGAGACCCCAGTCACCAGCTGCAATAGTCAATCCTTCAGAGCTCTCAGGGCTGGGTTCTGGGACTTGGTATGTAGAGTGACCTCCCTAGTGTCTGGGAAGAATCTTCTGGTGCCCCTGCCATGGCTCTAGCAACCTACGATGTCCAGCTCAGTAGTAACATCAGGGATAGAGGATGAGATGGGATGGGCCAGGGGAAGCTCTGTTTGCTCTCTGTCTTGTGGGCTGACAATGAGAGGGGAAAAAAGAGCCCCTTACTCCACTCCACTGTGATGGGGCTCTGCAGGCTGGGATGCTCCACATGGCAGGTGTAGACGTCTCCTCGCCGGGGAGTCATTTCCAGCATCACAAGGATCTGGAAGGTCCAGTCCCCATTCCTAATAAGGGGCGTGGACACAACGCCGGCCGTCTCTTCTTGGTTGTTCCGAAACCACCGAACTTTGATCTGGCCTGGATAGAAATCCGTCACCGAGCAGACGAGCATGTTGTGGTGGTTTAGAGCCTCTGTCTTGGATGGGGAGATGGTCACTGTAGGTTCCACTGAGGGGAGTAACAGACAGGAAAAAGCAAAGTGAGATGTGGACCACTCAGCAAGTCTCCCCAAGAGGAGAGTCCTCATTGTACCATAGTGGAAAGATCTCTGGATTCCAAGTCTGGGTGGGATTGGAATCCAAGCTGGGTCACATTATTAGCGCAAATAAATCCATTAGTTGGTTTACTTTTCGGTCTCAAGAAATAATAGTAACCAACTTTATGGGAGTTATTCTATTGATGCCAACTGATAAAAAAATGAAGCCCTTTAAAATTTTAAATTCCTATATTATACAGGCCACTATTCATAATATTTTTTAAAATAAATATAATAAGCTTGGATTTCTTTTCTTTCACGCCTACTGAAGGTGACCATCAGGATGGGCTCTAGGATTCACACTAGGGCAGTGACATTGTTTTCTGTTGGTCCCGCTGCTCCTCACAGTAGAAAAAATACATCAGTTTTGGGTGTCCTACTGGCCACGAGACCATCAGCACTAGTCACGGCTCCACAGACAGTGACATGGACTGAGACCAGGAATATATAGACATTTCTATGACCCACAAAGAGGACAGCAGTCGCCATCACATCCTTCCTCCAAAGCAACGTTTCTCTAACAGGCTATACTCTGTGATTCTTGGAGTGTAATACTAACAGAATTTAAGAGCAAGAGCACTTCTTACATTTCATCCATCAACAAAGCATCCCTCTCAGCTTTTAGCCTGACCTTAGCCCAGATGCCATTCTGTGGGAAATTCCCCATTACATTTTATATTATTAAATGCATAAACTTCCATGTCCATATCATATATACCACCTATATTATATTCACTTGTTGATTCATTCATTCATCATTCAACAAATATGAATTTATCAAGCACTAGGAATAGAAATATAAACAACAGACCATGATCCCTGCCCTTATAGACTTGTTTAGTAAGAGACTGAAAAAAATGTTAGCTCAACTTGGTAATTTTTTAAGTAAAAGAAAGGGAAGCTTAAAAACAAGAATCACTAATAAATATCATGTTTGCCTGTCTCCATTCCTTTCTCATCTCAGGCTGCTACTCCTGGCCGAACAGGACACACCTCTCCCTACCTACTTACACATTTCATCCTATGCCTCTCCAGCCATTTTATTTCATCTTCCTCACTCCCATAATGTGAAAGTACAGTAAATATTTATTGTGTGTTTTATCTCTTTGATAATGTCATGTTCACTTATATTCTTTTTCCCTAATTTTTTTTAACATTCAGTGAGTTGAGTCACTAGCAGCCTACCTTACTCCATCCCCTTACTATTAAGAATTCCTTCCTTGTTCCGAAATCTGACCTCATTATCATGCATGTTCTCTGTAGAAAATATTCTGAGATTCTGGCAGAGATGGGCCTGGGTTACCAAGAATGTAACGTGAGTAGGTGAGTGAGACGCGCCGAGGTCAGCAGCCTGTCTCAGGCCCCCGGTGTTTGCTGGGCCCTCCTGAGCCGTCGCCTGGCAGGAACCCCGCTTTCAGCTTAGACTTTAGCTCTTGCCCAGGTTCTCCCTCCTGGAGACTAAAATCATGGTCGACTAGATGGACTTATAAAATCTGTCAGTTTAGACAGATGGGAGTAGAAAGAGAGGGCACAAGTTCAAGGGAACAACGTCAGAACAACTTTTATGAAAAAGATCTGAAATAGCAAAAATGTAAGTGTTTGGTGGCATGAGGATGTGGGTCAGAAGGCAGGAGAGCGTAAAGTTAGCTAAAAGTCACGTGAACATGTGTATCTAACCCTGGGGTCAGACCAGGGATTCATGGGTAAATTTTCAACTCGTGAAAGTACCATTTTGTCTCACCAACAATGAAAATAGTCAAGAACAGGCTAATTATGCTGCTTCAGGTCACGACCGGCTTTAATGAGGCTTTGCCTCCATTATATATAACAGAATGACTTGTGTATTTTGGGGAGGCTTCAGGACCTGGTGAATAAATGTGAGTTAAAGTGTTTAATATGTACCAATATTGGTATATTAAAGTGGTGATGCTAGTTCCTAACACACAGTTAGGAATTAAATAGCATAATATGGATAGTGTTTGGCAAGGTAATTGTCAAGAAACAGATGCTCATTAAATCGCTACAACTAACATTCAAAATAGCTACCCCTGAAGTGGAGGATGATTCTGGGAGGTAGAGTCTGGGGCAAAAAAAAACCCTGAAACAATTTTTATTCAATAATTTAATAGCACCAATTTATTTACTTCAAAACTTCAGCCCTATTGCGCAATTTGTCCAGCTTTTCTAAGAAATTACATTCTGCCTTACAACACCATTGAAGTGGTGTTTGTGCTTCTTGCAAACACTTTTTTCCCTCAGACTTTGTATTCACCAATTCTAAATTAAGAGCCAAGTAGAGATTAATTTAATACATTAAGCAAAATAGCACAAAATAATTCCTAAAGTCAGTTGTTAAGGCTCTACTTACCCTTCTGTTTTCTATTGAGCCTGAGTGGATGGCAGCTGAGGCCATTTATTCCTTAACCCCCAAAGGTTTAGGGGGCTCACCCTGAGCTAGTGAAAGTGTCAGGTGGGCGACACACGGCGACAACGGACCGTCCCTGCCTCAGAGAGGCCCAGGACTAGGGCCAGCCGCTTAAGAAATCAGAACTGAGGTGCATAATCGCTGGAGACCAAAAAGCGAAAACATAATACGTCACGACTCCGACAGACTAGCCCGCGTGCGCGGGGCCGCGATGGCCAAGGCGAGGGGCGGGCGGGTGCAGAGCGGGCGGCAAGGGCAGCAGAGGGCGCGGGCCGCCCGGGGCAGGCCCGGCGGGTCGCGGGGAACGTGCTGCCGGCCGCCCCGCCCCGCCCCGCCCGCGGGCCCGGCTCGGCCCCCGAGGCCGCCCCCGCGGGCGGGCGCTCACCTCGCCGGCGCAGGGCCCGGGCGGCGTCCTTCGTAGTTGTGTCTGCACACCGTGTCCAGCTCCGCCCGCTTCCGCTCCATGATGTCCTTGTCCCGGTTCCAGCACTCGGCGTCCGGCCGCCCCAGCTCGGTCACCGCGACGTGTTCCCCGACGTCGCTGTCGAAGCGCGCGTACTCCTCCCGGTTGTAGATGTGTCTGACCACAAGCCGCACCCGCTGCGTCCCGTTGGTGTAGTAGCACAGGCCCTTAACCTGGTACAGGAAGTCCACTGCGGGGAACGGGCGCCCCGTCAGCGCAGCCCCGGCGCCCCGCGGGCCGGGACCCCCCGGGGCCGCCGCCCGCCGCTCCCCCGCCCGCCGCCCGCCCGGGGCCCCGAACGGCCGGGCGGGGCGGGGAAGCGCCTCGGGGGGCGGGCCCTGCGCCCTGGGATCCCCGCCTGAGCTGACGACCGGGCAGGGAGGGCGTCGGGGCGACTTCGCACCCATCCCCGTCCTTAGAGAAGTCGCGACGTTGTCCCAGGAAACCGCACGTCCGTAGAACTCCCGGGAACCTCGGGGACAAGTGTCCACCCAAGCACGACAGTTCACGGGAGGCAGTGACGGGAAGGGTCTAGAATGACGCCCGCCCCCGCCCTGTCGGGCTTGTGTATTCTCTGGCCCCTGACAAAGCGCCCCCGCTCTCCGGCCCTGTCGCCGGGCGGGGCGGGCACCTGCTACGAAGCGACATTTATTCATGCGAAGGACACGGGCTTTCCATGAGATAAATTAGATTCCAGTTAAACTGCCAATTACCAGGTTGGACAGGTCACTTAGAGCACCTATAGCATAAACGCAATTGTGTAAAAAGAAGCCCATAATGCCTCCACCCAGAGGTATCCGGAGGACTGACACAGAATTTCCGTGAAGGTAGAGCCCTGTGTCTGACATAACGCTTGGTCGGTGTGTATTATTCCCCCATTACAGTCTCCTTTCTCTTAAAGTCAGCCCACCAACAACACAAGACTCTGAACCCCACTCAGCTTACCATCTGGCCCTAAATCAGTGACCCTTGAAGACCCCCGTCCGTGGGTGCCCGGCCAGGCAGCCGCGCTCGGGTCGCACGCGTTTGCCTCCAGAACCCTCCACCGACACTCAGGGACGCGGGGGCCTTGCCTCACATCTGAGACCATGTTGCCCACGTTTCCCCAACTCAGACTCCCTTACTATTGGGTTGGCCGAAAAGCCCATATGGTTTTTTCCATAAAATAAAAGACACAGTTTTCATTTTTGCCAATAACTATTGATTTGGTTGTTTTGAGTACGCGGCTCGCTCCTGCTATTGAGGAGAGGCCAGAGGTGCTGCCAAACATCTTCCAAAGCGCAGGACAGCCCCACGGCAAAGACATACGGGGCCAAAATGTCCGCAGCACCAAAACACTTCGCAAACCACTTTTAAACCGCGTTTGATCAGTAACAGCACATTCTCCATACACTGCACAAGTCCATTTTTGCATTTCAGTTGCGTTTTTACCTTTCTTGAAATAATAAAGCATAATATGCTGAAAATGTTGCTTGTCTTCCATCTTCAATATGAAAATGGCTGCACAAAAATTCACCAATTTTGAATGTTTATTTTAAATGCACACCGATGACAGTTGTCACAATACAATGTAACAAATTGTTTCAAATGGAGTTAAAGACAATGAAACACTACCGCAGCCATCATACGGAAAAAAACTAAACAAACTTTTGGCCAACCCAGTATTTAATCCAGACAAGACCTTGGGGGACCCCAAAAGGACAAATCCTGCTGTCTCTTCCTTGGAGAAATTCTTATCTTCAAAAATAACCCCTTTTCCCATCACTGGTAGTAGGTGCACACTGTCCCCTCCCAGTATGACGTCCCCAGGCTTGAGCCGGTGGGATGGCCATTGTCCTCCCCCGTCATTAGAAGGTGAAAAAGAGAATGTAACAGAGTTCACTTTCCCAAAGAGAAGAAATAAGGGATAAAAGGCTGTATTCTGAGGTCATAGCCACACCCCAGCCCGAGTCCCTCAGAAGCTGGTCCCCAGGCTGGTGGCTCTGGGGAGCAGCTGCCCCGCACTCACGTGGAGAGTCGCTGCCCGCCGCCGCCGCGGCGCTCAGCACCGCCAGCGTCGCCATCGCAGCTGCTGCCCCAAGGCCCCTGGGGATCCGCAGAGCCATTTTCCCAGGCATAACTGAGAACAAAGGAAGAAGTAATGGTAGTGAACACAGCTTCACCTGAGGACTCTGAGGGAGACTTCAGAGAATAAAAACCTGTTAAAAGTGTCCATGCGAGTTAGGATTGGAGAGTCCTCAGGAAAGGAGCCAATCAGCGCTGCCGCTGAGGTCCCTCATCTGTCTCTGGGCAAATGATTTTTTATGAAGGTTCTTTACCCAATGCCTGGAACCGAGTCTTCATCAAATTGCGCTGAGGATTTTATCTCAGTTATAGGAGATCTGAAGATTGAATGCTTTAGGGGTGACAGAACCAAAAGAGAAAAAAGATTCAAGAGTAGACAACTTTGTGATATTTAGTTAAAACCTATTGTTCTTATACTTGAGATTTTTAGTAGGGGAAAATAAGTGGGTATCATATATCAGGGCAGAGATCATTATTGTCATGGAAATGTTCCCTTCTATTATCTTAAACACTCCAAGAGCCTCAAGTTGTGGTGGAAAGAGCAGAGCCCTTGGAGGAGATGGTTTTGGGCTGCAGCTCTATGTCGGATGTGCTTTCTGAGAGCCAACGAATGACTACTCAACCTCCTTATACCTCAGGCTTCTCTTTGGAAAATGTGGATCATGTTTCATGCATTTTACATCTACATCTTCTCATATACAAGCTTACCAGTAATATCACTGGATTAATATTGCAAAGTGTTCCTCTCTGCTGTCATGTGTAACAGTTGGGTGTATCACCACCACCACCACCACCACCACCACCAACAACAACAACAAAAAGACACCCAGCCCTGCTGGCAAGTGATTTTTCATTATGAAAGAATCTATTGCATTTGCGCTCTTTGAATGAAAGTATTTGAAGTTAAGTTGAGTTTTCTTTTTTGTGGGCTGAGGCAGGTGCTGTTTGTGTGTTTGTTTCTTTTGGGTGCAGCCTATTGCAAGCTCTTAAAATGCTCCCCATGAGGGTTTTCTCAGCCTGCAACTGGGGCAGGGCACAAGGGCCGGGAGTATCTGGTGGCTAATGAAAGATGGGGGTCAGACTACAAATACCTCTGCTCCCTCACTTATTGAGGGGGATAAGTCTGAGGTGGGTTCTACATTCAAGGTGATTTTTCTCTAATAAGCTCTTCAGCTGGGTAAATCCTCCCTGAACCATGAAACAGATTCATCAGGTGTCAGCAAAGGTACAATCCACAGCCATTCACAACATTGAGACACAGGCACCGTCACTGTTCCAGGACAGAGTAAAAAGACGTGGAGAAGCATTCCCTGGGGCCTGAACCGTGTTACTGAGGGAGCAGGTGTTCAGAGTCACAGCTTGTACTGTGCCAGCCCATAAGCATCAAACCCCATGTGGCAGCACTATTGATGTGGGGTTTTTAATAAACATTATTTATCAGGCTCCTCTGGCTCATGGCTAGGGGTAGTACTAAATGGTTATAGAGCAATTAAAACAATGCCTGGCAAATATTAATAAACAAGATAAGTATCTCCTTCTCTTCTCTCCCTTTTTCCCTATCTTCCCTGTATTTTAGGTTTTCCTTTTTAAAATTGAGGATGGGATCTAAAAGCAGAATATCAGGAGTTTTCCAGATAAAAAGAAATAATGAAGAGGCAAGACAAGAAGTCCCATTAGTGGCACAGGGAAACCGTAAATTGTTCCAGTTTTCTCTATTGGGCGTGTCATTCCAGAACACCTGAACCTGGAGAATTTGTCCCCGGGCTTCCTCCGGCAGTGCTGTGCCAGGGTCAGCGTAATCCAGAATAAGGGTGGAAGCATAAAGGGCAAACATCCAACTCAGACCTGGAATAGTGTTTGGGGACATGAAAGAATAGTCAGAAAAGAAACCTGAACGTGCCCCAGTTTCCTCGACCATCACATCGACCATTAACAGAGGCCTCTGGCCCATCCCCCTCACCGCCCCCCAAGCCTGGTCCTAAAGGGAAAAGTCGTCTCTTCTGCTGTGGGGCTGTGCAGCAGAGGCTGCGTCAGACCTGGGTATTTCCCATCTCACAGGCCTCTTCAAACCAACTTCTCTACCAGCAACAGAAGTGTCAGCATAGGCTCCTTTTTCTGATTGGCTATAATCTCATTGGCAAGGCCCTGGTTTGGACTTCTGCCAGCCGCTTCCCCTGACCCAGTCAGCATTCTCTACATTTTCTAGTCTCTGCACTGTCCCTATCCTGGCTGCATTCTTCTGTGCAGCCACTGCTGGCCTGGCCTATGAGGAAGGCCACTCAGACAGACACCCCGGTTCCCGGCACCTCACCAGAATCATCTCGCCGGCCCAAAGGCAGGGCACCTTGGACGAGGGCGATGTGTGCCCATGTGGACAGACAAGGAGATAAAAAAAAGTCATCAATATGAGTGAGGGTACAGCAGGGAGACTCCCCCGGGGACATCCTCTGTTCCCTCAGTGCGGAAGATTAAGGGTATGGACTCCTTCATAGTGGAAATTCGGGGAGAAATCACCTTCCCTCATCAGCGTCCCTTGGAATCTGTGCTTGGTCAGTGGGTTAACCGTGAACATAATAATCATCTTGTCACCAGAATTACCATCCAGGACCCCATTCTGCACTCACGTCAGGAATCAAGAAACAGTGTGTATTTTAAAGGGTCCTGTGACCTCCTTAATGCCAGTGACAATATAATTAGAAATACTGCTCCCAGAATAATATTTCTTTTTAATAAAAATTTATCAAGCATTCATCACTAAATTTTTCTAAATCTTTACAAAGCTACTCACACATGTTCCCTCATCAGCCCTTAGGTAACCAGTTATATGAATTTTTCCATGACTACTCACTTAAAGTTGGTCTTTTCTCTTTACACAAAATTATCTCTTTAAAATCATATTTTAGATAGTTTGAAAAAGAGTCAAAGTAGTAGCAGAGTGACCATGGGTGAAATCTGTTAGCTCTGAAAGACTTAGTTTTGCCTCATTTGTGGAAAGAACGCACACCTCGCAGGAGCACTGCCATGACGCAGACATAACGTGTAAAAGTCCTCTGTGATCTGCGGTGAGTGACGGAAACATTAGTTCTAACACAACAGTAGTAAGTTCATCTTTTTTTGACATCACTAACAAAGACAGCAAAGTCATCTCGTTATTTCTCATTTCTGTTCACATGATGGAATTACTGTGATTTTTGAGTCCCTACCGCTCACCTCATTACGGACAGAAGGGAGGGGAGCGCATTCATTGTATTTGATCATGAATCCCCCGCCTGTTCCCTCCCTGAAGTGGCATGACTACCCCTGCACAGAAGTGCCATTTAGTTACCATTTCGGATCTCAGAACTCAGTCCCTCTTTCAGTGGGCTCACAAATCTGGAAACTTGAATATGAAACAAAGAATCATAACACAAATTTGTTGGGGACCACTTTGTGTGGTATCGGGGACGGTAGCCCTGCAAGAGCTAGGCCCGCTGCCTGTGAGCCTCAACTGGAAAGCCAGGAATGCTGGGAGGCGCAGGGATGGATACTAACACCAAGGGTCCCCTGGGAAATCTGGCCAAAAAATGCAACATTGTCACTGAAGGTTGCTCTGCTTCCACTGCCCTGATAGGGAAAAACCAGGTGTTTTACTTCACCGGTGAAAAGAAGGTAATTCCTGAGCTCCGAAAACTGTGCCTTAATGAACATCTGGTGCCAATTTGTCTGACAGACCTTGATTTAAGACAAACCTCTGTATTTCTTCAATTTATTATCTATAGCCTTTTGATGTAGATTGGTAGGTTTTGTGTGCACACTGCACACCCCTGCGCACATCGTTCTCAACAAAAGCCGCTTCAAGGGAAGGGCTCAGGGTAATTCTCCACTAGAGGGAATCACCAACCCCTTCTCCTGACAAACAGATTGTGTCTGGTACAGTTTATTTCCTCATACGTGGCAACCCAGATGTGCAACCCATACGTGCAGCTCTGTGGACAGAGCCTCCCTCACAAATTCATGAAAGAAGAACAGAGTTAGTGCCACACTTGAGCTCTGTGGGTTATTATGGCAGAGAGTCCAGGACCACACCCATCTTGTTTAGATTTAGAGAAAGAGGGATTGGCCACTCCTTGTAGCTACTGCAAAATCTCCAAAGCCCCGTCCTGACCACACAGGCTGCGTACCTTTCATTTCCCACCTAATGATCAGGGGTCCCCTGTATTTCAGCTCTGACGCATCTATGCAGTCTTGTTTCCAGTAGCTTCTTCCCCCTCCACCAACACTCAACAGGTCCCAGATGGTGGGTATTGTCACTTAACAATATTTTTTATACCCCTAGAGTTAAGGTCTTTGGTTTCAAAGGTAAAAATACAGGAATCCTGCCTTCCAGGAGTTCACACAGGGGAAGGGAGATGTATAGGGGGAAAATAAAAAACACAAAAGTTTACAACAGCCACTAAAGGGAATGGCATATATACTGACTAAAGACAATGTTGAAGGCACAGGGACACAAAATTATAAATTGATAGCAGTGTCCATTGTTATTTTTTTCTCTTGCAAAGAGTTGGCATCATAGGACTAGAAGATGCATATTATTTGAGGATTAATTCATGAATAGTAATATTTCAAAATGAGGAGGATGGGGAGTTGATGGTGTAAAGGTCATGATGGAATTGAGACAGACTGTCCAGGTGCACTTCTCGGAGGAGGCGATGGCTCAGCCGGTAAAGGGCCATTCCAGGCAACAAACAAACAAACAAACGAAAAAACAAACAAAAAACCCGCCCCACACACACATTTACCAGAGGGCTGACAGGGAGTTTGGCAAGACTTCAGGGCTGGAAAAGTTGGGCGGGGCAGTGGGGGGGCACACACATCATGTGGTTTGGTGGGATTAGCAGATGGGATTCAGGTATTCTGGTCTTTGCAAGGCTTAACAATAGCACCATTGAAATTCACCTAATTTTTCTTCCCAGTAGGACAAGAGAAAATAGAGGTAATTTCAGCAGAAGAATGCCAAGACATGCTTCTCTGTTCATAAAGCCACCTGGGAAGCAGTGTGGAGAGAACTTTTGAAAGGGGCTGTAGATTACTGTATGTGATTCAAAAAAGATTCATATTAATTGGAGGAA